TGCTGATGTTCGTATGGGAGGGGACCTGAGGCGAGAGAGAGAGAGAGAGAGAGAGAGAGAGAGAGAGAGAGAGAGAGAGTCTGCTGATGTTCGTATGGGAGGGGACCTGAGGCGAGGCACAGGGATTGGTCCTGTTGGCATGATCGCTGATGCTACCGGCTGTCCCATACCCGGGAAGAGAGAGAGAGAGAGAGAGAGAGAGAGAGAGAGAGAGAGAGAGAGAGAGAGAGAGAGAGAGAGAGAGAGAGAGTCTGCTGATGTTTGTATGGGAGGGGACCCGAGGCGAGGCACAGGGATTGGTCCTGTTGGCATGATCGCTGATGCTACCGGCTGTCCCCTACCCGGGATCGCCCACCTGCAGGTCGGGGGCAGCCCCCTCATGTTCTCTCCTGAACACCGTTCTGGCTGCTACGGGGTTCCCCGTATGCCTACAATTAGGGGTTGTGGTAGGTTGGTAGTGTTTGGCGAAACTGAGAGAAAAATATAGCTGAGAGAGAGAGAGAGAGAGAGAGTGTCTCCTGGTGTTTGTAGGGGAGGGGACGTGTGGCAAGGCACATGGATTTGTCTTGTTGGCATGGTCCTTGATGCTATCGGCTGTCCCCTAGCCGGTATCGTCGACCTGCAGGTCGGGAGCAGCCCCCTCATGTTCTCTCGTGAACACGGTTCTTGCTGCTACGGGGTTCCCCATATGCCTACAATTAGGAGTTGTGGTAGGTAGGTAGTGTGAGGTGAAATTGAGAGAAGAATATAGCTTAAAAAAAAATAAAAAATAAAAGTGAGAGAGAGAGAGAGAGAGAGAGGGAGAGAGAGTTTGCTAATGTTCGTACGGGAGGGGACCTGAGGCGAGGCACATGGATTGGTCCTGTTGGCATGGTGCCTGATGCTACCGGTTCTCCCCTAGCCGGTATTGCCCACTTGCAGGTCGGGAGCTGCCCCCACATGTTCTGGCTGCTACGGGGTTCCGCTTATGCCTACAATTAGGAGTTGTGGTAGGTAGGTAGTGTTAAGTGAAATTGAGAGAATAATATAGCTTTAAAAAAAAAGGAAAAAGAGAGAGAGAGAGAGAGAGAGAGAGAGAGAGAGAGAGAGAGAGAGAGAGAGAGAGAGAGAGAGTCTGCTGATGATTGTAGGGGAGGGGACCTGAGGCGAGGCAAAGGGATTGGTCCTATAGGCATGGACCCGGATGCTACCGGCTGTCCCCTAGCCGATATCGCCCACGTGCAGGTCGAGAGCGGCCTCCTCATGTTCTCTCTTGAACACGGCTGCTACGGGGCTCCCCATATGCCTACAATTAGGAGTTGTGGAAGGTAGGTAGTGTTAGGTCGGAAATTTCCTGTCTCGACCTTCAACCTCCGATTTGCTTCGCTGCAAGCTTGCGGCTAACCACAAATTTATCTTTTATCCTGCCCAGCACCAGTCCCATCCTTGAGTCGTCCACAAAATTTTTCCTTTGCCCACGCCGTGACGCGGAGCTTCTTGTCTCCCTGTTTTTGGTTTGAATTCACCACTGGGTACAGTGTAGCAATAAGTCCTCGATGGAAAAAACATCGCAATATAACAAGCTTTATGCATGTTTACGAAATAATATCCGCTACATTTTCAGGATATAAAGGCCATTTGCTGCGCTATAAAAAACAACACACATGCGCTCGCGGTGACAACACTTGCGAAGACTGAGTGCACGAGCTGCAGCGACCTGCAACATTCTGGCGACAATAGAAGCTTTGTAAGACATGTCAGCTATGCCGCGGTGGGAGAGAAGCCATGTTATCCACGTACGTCATGATGGCATGCCATTTGACGGGTCAGGTATCCTGCAGCTCTATTTGACACGTGTGCTACATGGGCCAGAACAGTCATTGTACCAGGATCGAGTGCCTTCTTTCTCTCCCGACA